GAATGCCCTGAGTGGTGGTTTGGCTGGCTGGAGTGTTGTGGGGATCGAACTCCAGCAACCTGAGGCTGACAGCTTTGCCGAAGCTGTCACTTAAAGAACTGAGCTAGGGCCAGGCCCCTAGTTGTCTTTTATCTTAAAAGATATAAGATCTTGAAACACTGCCTTTAGGATTTTCTGTACTAACTTTTTGTTGAATGAACAAAGTTAAAGATTATTAGTTTCATCTATAATTGAAGAGATTCTGAATTTTAAACATTTGTAAATTCGCTTTATTCAAAGTTGGAAATCAGTGATAAGGAAATATATTGGATAAAAATAGTCACACATTTCAGATGAAGAGTAAAATCATTTGCTTATTTTTTAATTCAAGATAAAATGTCCCCAGAAAGGAGGAAACTTCTGATGGAGCACATCTTCAAGCTGCAGGAGTTTTGTAACAGCATGGTCAAGCTCTGCATCGATGGCTACGAGTATGCCTACCTGAAGGCCATAGTGCTCTTCAGCCCAGGTGTGTATGGTGACTTCTTCCACCGCTGAAGAAGTGCTGCTGGTATTTCTTCTTGTAGCAAAGTTTCACATGTGTGACAGGTAGCGAACAAAAACAGAAGGATAGTGGGAAAATGGGCTCTGCAGAGCAAATTTGGGCTTAGTAAAAAGGGAGGGAAAATGAAAACAAAAATCCACAGTGTTGTGTAGGGTGGGCTGTCGTGTATAACACCACCATGCCTGGCTTATACGCTTTTACTTCTTAATTAAAGCACAGTGTTAAGTATGTGGAGAAATTAGAACCCTCATAAATTCCTGGTAGGAATACTAAAATAGTGCGTTTGAACTGGGTGGGGTAGCTCCCACCTGTAATCCCAGCATTCAGGAAGCTGAGGCAAGAGGATAGCCGTGAGTTCAAGGCCAGCCTGACTTATATCATGAGATTCTGTCCCTCAAAAAAAACAGAGTGGTGTGTTTGTCTTGAAAAAGAATGCAGCACAATAGCACTTCCATTCCTGCCAACCCAAGAGAAATAAAAATGTTTGTTCACAGAATGATCCTGAACTTTGAGGGCAGCATAATTCATGATAGCCAAAATACAGAAATAGAGATCCAGTCCTAGCCCAGGCCCGCATCTGAAGTAAAGAATCAACTACAGAAACATAGGGAG